AGTGTCCTCTCTTTGATGCACATATGTATGGAGTGACATGTTCACCCTTCCCGTGCCCACGTGCTGCGGTCCACGAGATGCTGGCCATCCGCAGACATCTGTGCCCACAGAACGAGCTTACCTGGCTCAACAAATAGCCTTTCCCCAGCCAAATTCTTTTACTTCCTACTTCTCCAAGGGGACACCTTGCCCCCGATCTTACTCAGCGCTCTGTGAGGACACAGTAACTCTCCTCCTCTAAAGACCTGAAGACTGAGGGAATTAGGAATTAAATGAATTAAGGAATTGAATGTATCTATGGTACTGGAAGATACTGGAGTTAAGGCCTAGCAATTCAGGAAAAGGTGTTATGAAAGCCCCAAACTAGGCTGGAGTTGGTGAGAAAGTGGGAGGGCCGCGCTGAGAGGGTGTATCACTGGAAGGTGGGGGGACAGAGAAGGAAATGAGGGGCCAGGGCGAGGGCAGTGCAAAGGGAATTTACAGGAGAAGAGCAAGGAGAGAGAGGATAAAGAAAAAGATACCTGGAGTTGAAACCCCACTTGTCAGCTCAGGGTTGATTGTTTCCAAAGAGCGCCCTGTCCCACCCTCTTGCCAGAGGCGGGTCAGTGGGCTGTGACAGAGCCCCTCACTCTACTAGTCAACCGGGCAGACCCGCTGCACTGTGCTAGCTCTCCTCCTGCCTCAGCCAGAGCCTCGGTCCACAAGCACCTCTGCTTCTTATCCCCAGGCTGGCAACACTGGATCCCAGGAGAGAGGCTGGGGAGGCTGCAGGGGTGGGGCAGTGGAACCACAGACAGGAGGGGAAGAGGGCCAGGGAGCCCGTCCATCTCTGAGCTGTCTCTTACTAGACCTGGCACTGTCAGGGTTGTCAACATGCTCACCAGCCAATCTGCACCCATCACCTGCCCCCCACAACCCGTGCTCCCTGCCCCCCGCTTCCCAAGGGCCCCTGCCACCACCACCCTCCCAGGAGGACTGGGTTCTCCTCCGGCCTCACCCACCGATGCACGTCTTCCCGTCGGTATGGAGCACAAACTTGACATGGCAGCCGCACCGGGGACCCTGCTCTGTGTCGTCACACGTGTGCTGGCAGCCGCCATTCCCGTAGTTGCATGTCACTGTGCAGAGAGGGCAGGAGGCTTGTCAGCTGGCTTCGCCCGGAGCACCACAGTTCTCTGTAACACTAATACTGGCCCTGGGCCTCCCTGGTGGCGCAGGGGTTAAAGACCACACTATCAAGCTAGCGCCAGCCACTGCAGCACAAGTTCGATCCCCAGCCAGGGAGCTACCCACATGGCGCCACAGATCTTCCTGTATCACCTGCTACTCCCCTCAGCAGTGTATTTAGTCCGTCTGCCCGTTCTGTTCCCCACTCTGTCTCTGGTGAATCCTCTCACTCCCTCACCTCTGGCCTATACCCAGTTCTTGTATGCATTAAAAAAAAAAAACAAAAACAAAAACACTAATACTGGCCCACTTTTCTAGTGCCTCTCCCAGGCTCCCTTCTCCTGCCACTTCTTGCTCCTGAGGCCCAACACCCCTGCTCTCTGTCTCCCCTCCTCCCCCACTGCCATCGCAGTTATCTCACATTTACAGTCCCGTTGGTTCTTGGTGAGCTCGAAGCCAGGGCGGCATTCGCAGGCAATCCCCCCTTTGGGCGTCTCCCGGCAAATGTGCGCACAGCCGTGGTTCTTGTTCATGCAATTCATTCCTTCTAAAAGGGAAGAAGAGGGAATGGATGCTGCATACTTCGGGGCACCTAGAGGAGAGGAACTGCGAGGGTGGGGACTGAGAAGTTGGGAGAATTCCACTGAGGCTGCAACTCAGAGTAGACTGACTGTCCCCCTCGTGGCCCTAGGTGCTGGGTGGCTTCAGGATGCACCCAGAAAAATATAAGACATTATCTCTTTCCTCAAAGAGCTTACAGTCAAATTGGGGAAAAGAGAAATAATGATCAAATCTATAATGTGAGTGGGGAACAATTGGTATGGATAATTACACAATTTCATTCAACAATTATTTATTAAGCTCCCACTACAGGCAGGGCAGTATATTAGGCGTGGGGGATACAAAGATGAATAGGTTAGTGCCTGCCTTCAGGGAGGTCAGTCTAGTTGGGGGGGTGGGCAGAGTCCTTGGGGCTGATCACAAGACTCCCAGGGTAGCCTCAATCCAACTCTGACCCAATCCCAAATGAATTCTACCAGATTTTGCTTTAACACAAAATATCCACTGAGCCCTCAGGATGTGATGGGGCTGAGGGACAAGAAAAGGGGGCGCTAGTGGAGTTGGGTAGGGATGGCAAAACCTTGGGGTACTGAGGGAAAGCTCTGGAGCAGCAGATGGACAAGTCTGGGGAGCGCAGGGCGGGGCTGACCTTCTGGCCGCTGGATGCAGGTGTGCTGGTTGTCGCTGAGGAAGAAGCCTTCCCGGCAGTGGCACTCATAGCTTCCATCATGTTGACACAGCTCTGTTGGCAGCCACCGTTGCCCTCGGCACACTCATCCACATCTGTGCAGGACAGGTGGTGGGGGAGGCGGTGGGGTGTAGGCCGGGGTCCAGGGTAACCCTGGGACTTCAGGGCCCAGGGCTGAGAGCAGTCTTAGGAACCCAACAGCCCTTCCCAATCCAAGACCCAGCTTCAGTCAGGCTCATCACCAGCTAGTACCCCACTGCTCATGAAGAGGTCACCCTAACAGTGGAGCTGGGGAGCTAACCAAGCAGGGAGGGGACATTTGAACTTGGCCCACCTTGGGGGACTGGCCTCCCTCTCCCTCACCCACTGACATTGGGTCTGAGGGCAGAAATGAAGAAAGAAGACAGAGCAAGAGGTAGAGCAATGGAGATCAAGATGGAGATTGGCCAGGGACAGGAACCAGGGCCTGTGGTTGTGATGAGCCCAGGGGCTCCAAGGACCTGGCCAGTGGCTTCGCCTGCAGGGGAGCTATAGCCATGGTGCTGACGTCGTTGGAGGGCAGAGTGGGGAAAGGCCATGAGCTTCAAGTCCTTGCCCGCAGAGACCATTTCTGTGGACAGACCATGGCCCCATCCTCTCTCCCCTCCCTCCATGCCTGGGCTTGCTGCCATCTTCCCCAGCCTTTCTCCTATTTTGGTTTAACAAAACAAAGTCTGGTAGCTTGGCAGGGAGGGATGCGGGAAAGCTGCCAGGCCACACCCCAATCACCACCCAAAATCACCACCCCCAGGTCCCAGAGCCAAGTTCTTCTTGGGGCTCCCACTTCAGTGCCTCCACTTGGTCTCTGTACTGCCTCCCATCCTGAGCCCATGGCCCTTCTCGGTATGCAATTTTCCAACAAGCATCAGAAAGATTGGTCCTCAAATGGAACAGCTGGAGTCTGGGTTCCAGGGGGCTTCATCTGTCCCCTCTTCCCCTGAAACCTTGACCTCTTCCCTTCTGGCCAATGGCAGAGCAGCTCAGATCCTGCCTGAGAGATGCCCCTGTCGGGGTGAGGCGGTACACTTTCCTTCACCGTGGCGTGTCTTTGCCCCACGCCTCATTGCATCCCTGACTCCCCATCTCTGTCTTCCCACTCTACCCCCGCCTACATTCCGTTCTCTACTGCCCCCTTCTAGCTCAGCTCTGTCACTCTCTTCCTCTAGCCAAGTTCTTTCCTCCAGTTCTGGGGGTGGGGTGGGAAGAGGACTGAGGCCCAGGGTGTAGATGACTTCCTATGAGTTCCCCTAAAAGTCAAAGGTAGGGCTGATACTTTGAGCCCCAACCCTAGGGTGAAGGTGAGAGTGACTTTTGCTCCCCCTGGACACTCCATATATACTTGTTTTCTTATCCCTCTGGCAGGTTCTCCCTAAAACACTTATAGGGAAACTAGACTTGGAGAGAACTGGGGGCTTAGAGCAGTCAAGGGCAATCGAAGAACCCAGAAGCTGATGTTCATTGTTCTATAAGCAACTCATGGTGAAGGTCCAAGAGTCAGATTCTCCTTTCAAAGCAGACCCCAAGAGACCCTCACCCTCATGGGTAACTGGGTAGACAAGAAGTGAGGTCCTGAGCCTCCCCGGTAGAGCAGTGGTTAAGCGCTGGGCTGCAAAGCTGCCTGTGGCCTCTGCAGCGCCGGTTCGGTCCCTGGTCACCGGCAAGGATCCCACATGGCACACAGACCTCTCCTGCCGTGCCTGCTGCTCCCCTCAGCAGTGTATTTCGTCAGTCTGCCTGTTTTGTTCCCCACTCTGGCTCTGGTGAATTCTCTCGCCCTCCCACACTTCTGACTGTACCCAGTGCTTGTATAAATAAAAAAATAAATCTTAAAAAAAAAAAAGTTAAAAAAGAAGTGAGGTCCTTCCCCAGTGGCTACTGTGGTAAGAGAGGTGGCTGGGGCTGGGGGGAAGGGTCCAGCAGGGATCAGGGTTAGAGGCCCAGGTTGGGAGCAGAAAATCCATAAGCCTGGTCCAAAGACAGAAAGCAACTGGGTTTTGAGGCAGCTGTGTAGTTAGGAGGTTCCCCTAGGCCAGTAGGACCTTAGGTAACCCTATATGGTCATGTGGGGGGTGGGAGAGCAGCCTAACCTATTTTTCTGGGTATCATGTCTCTTGCTTCTCTTCCTTTGTCTTTTATTCTTCTAGTCTTTTTATTTTGGCACCAGAGAAAAAAGGTTTTGGGAAAGGACCCCTGGTTTCACATCTCATAACATTTCCTACTGTAGGGTTCAGTTTTTTTAGTTGGGGAATAATGTGACTTAATCCCAGCAATTTTCCAGAATGATAGAGACCAAAGTCGAGTTTAATTCCTTAGAGATTCTCTCTCTGATCCAGCCAAAGGAGATCAGGTCAGAACGAGAACTCAGAAGTAAGTAGATGATGAGCCTGGAGATTGCAGAAGAACTGGAAGAAAACCAACCTTTAAGTGTCAGCAGCTCCCCGGGGCACAGGGGACCATCACCGTCTTCATCAACAACACCCTCTCATTTATTGAGGGTCTACTACGCGCTAAGGATGGTGCAGGACTCTACACATTACTCTGGTAATCCTCCCAGCAGCCCTTTGAGTGGCAGGCTGAACCCCCATTTTAGAGGTGAGGAAGCTGAGATGCCCAAGATGAGCTGATTTCCCAAGGCTCCACAGATACTAAGCAGCAGAGCAGGATCTGTCTGGAGCCAAGTCACCGGCCACTGCGCTTTGCCCCTCGTGCAAAACCCACGACTGTCGCCGCCCAGCCCCGGCCCTGGCAGCACTTCCTAGCAGCATCTGCTCCGATGTTTTTCATGCAGCGGGATTATTTCAACCAGTGCCCCGCCTCAGAGGGGAAGCTGACTTTGTTCTCTATTTGTGGGAATGAAGCTTTTTGAGCACCTTCCTTGGAAGTGGGAACTGCTTGAAAACACCTCCTTCCCGACGAGATATCACTTCCCACCCCCCTCTCCACTGCTCACCCAGACAGTTGTGTCCGTCATGTGCCAGGTGGAATCCATCATAGCAGGTACATCGGTAATTGCCGGGGATGTTGACGCAGTCATGCACGCAACCTGCGTTATCCTCTCGTTCACATTCATCCACGTCTGTGGGCAAAGAGGAAGTGAGGCTGCTGGACCCACCTGTGTGCCCCCCATACCCCCTACCCTGGTCCACCTCTGGGCTCAGCCTTGTGGTGGCTTTTAAAAATATATACGGCACCTCTGTGTGTGTTTGAACATGGTTTTCATGGTCTACAAAACATTTTGCATCTTGCTATTTTCATCGAAATGTAAGTCATAAAGAAAAAAATAAACTTAAGTTATAAAGACTTTCATTTCTAGTCTTTCTTATTATTGCTGTACTTGGTTTTAGAACATCCCATTGTGCTGCTATATCATAATTTATTAATCCTTTTTCTCTATTGTTGGAGTCCTTCCGTTTATTTCACTATCATAAATAATGCATCAAAGAACACTCACCAATATATTATTGTGTTGCTTTGGCGTTCCTTAAATAAGCCCCTAATATTCCTGACTCAAAGGGTATAAATACCTTTGAAGAGTCTGGCTAGGAATGACAAGATCACTTTTCAATTTATGTTATCACCAGGAATCAATGAGTACACCTTGTCCAACTGAAGTCTTACCAACACTGGAGGTCACAGATTTAAAATAACATCTTGAGACTGCCTTAACTTCCATTGCTTTAAGAGGTGAAGATGTGCTCATTTTCAGTATGAAATTCCTAAGGAAAACCATTCTTATCCTTTATGGGCAGGGGTAAAGGTGTGAGGCATTAGGGTACCTCATCCCCATGACTCTGATCCCCTCCCCAGACCCCCTACCCGTCTGGTTCTGCAGCTGAACAGTTCCCACCAGGCTGGCCGACAAGGTGCATTTGTGCAAACTGGAAAATGGTGTCTTCTCTGAGAAGATACAGCCCCCCTCCCGTGTCACCCCCTTCCCATGCCAGTGGGGATGTAGCCTTAAGTGTAATGTGCAGTATGGCCACTGAAGGCAGGGCACTGGCTGCCCTCCCAGCAGGTCCCCCTTCTCCAGGTGCCCTCCAGCCTCACCTTTGCAGTGTTTACCATCCCCGTGTAGCCAGACTTGCAGATGCATTTGTATGATCGCGGGGTGTTCTGGCAGATAGCATCGATGTGGCAGTTGTCAGTCCCCTCCACACACTCGTCCACATCTGGCAGGGGCAGAGGGGGCATGTGAGACCCTCTGTTGGTGCAACCCAAGGTATATCTCGAGGGAGGTTCCCCACGGGTAAAATCCCTTCTTCTTTAAAATAGAGAAAGAGACCTTTCCAGAAGCAGGTGTTTTCCTCGCACCCGTCTCATACCAGAGTAGGCCAACTCTGTAATTTCAGGAATTCAGAAGGAAACCCCACTCCCTCAAAAATACTTAATCTATGACAGCTAAAATTCCATCATTTGAAACACTCCTTTGATTTAAAAACAAAATAAAAAATCTTCAGACTTGATAGTACACTTAACTTGATTAGAAGTATTCAACCTGGGGCCTCTCTGGTGGCACAAGGGGTTAAGATACAGCACTATGAAGATATCCGCAGCCACTGCAACACGAGTTCGATCCCCGGCCAGGGAGGTGACCCACATGGCACAGCAGACCTCTCCTGACTTGCCCGCTGCTCCCCTCAGCAGTGTATTTCAGTCAGTCTGCCTGTTCTGTTCCCCACTCTGTCTCTGGTGAATTCTCTCACCCCCACACACCTCTGGCCTGTACCCCAGTTCTTGTATGCATAAATAAAATAAATCTTTAAAAAAAAAGAAAACGAAATATTCAGCCTGGTGTGAACTGGTTTACCTTTCTTCGGAGTAGGTTTAGAGGAAAGGAGAAATGGAAACTCAAGGGAACAGTGGCTTCTTGGAAAGTGGCAGGGTCCAGCGGCCACTGGCAATTAAAAGAGGGAGAAAGGAAGACAGGACATCTGAGGAATCCTCATGTGCCTTGTTCTTCTTGAGACTAGGCCTGCTCCCTCTTGCCTGCCATGGTGCCGAGAGGCTTTAGAGGAAAGAAGTTCCATCCTGGAAGATTTTCCTTGGCCCCTGTGCTGTCAGCAGCAGAGGGACCAGGAGCTGGCTGGCTGGCACCAGCAATCTGAAGCTTGAGAATTGCGGACCTTGCAGCTCTCCAGCTGACCCACGCAGTCCACCTATCCCGCCACCCTGAGCGCTTTCATCTCCTCCCAGTGCTGCTCTGTCTCCTGGCCTGGCTCTAACACCAGATGCTTACTCACAGAGCTATGCTAAAGGAAGCAGTCACCCGAGATCCAGCAAAAAAGAGGATGGTTAAAAAAGGATATAAGAAAGAGATTCATTGTCTTTGAGCAAAAAGACCCCAATTTCTGGAGCGGTATTATGGTACCTATAAAATTGGACTGAGATAGGAAAATGTTTCATTCTGTTGAAAATGCATTATAAAGTATGTTTGTGAAAGGTAATATCCTGAGGGTCTTGGAGACTCATCCAGCTAAATGGAGAGACAACAGACAACTCAAGTGGTGAGTGGCCTGAAGCACGATAGATAAGGTGAGGGGTCCTCAATCTGGCTGTCCAGCAGAGTCAGCTCCCCGAGGAGATGTCCTGATGCCACCCCCAATTCTGGTCAACTAGTCTGGGCTGGGGGCCAGACATCAGTATTTTTCTGCAGCTCTCCAGGCAAGCTTTTGTTAAAATGTAGAACTTCAGGCCTTATCGTCAACCTGATGATTCTAAATCCTCATTATGGTGCTAGATAT